TTTAGGCTGAAACGACACAGGGCCTGTACGCCCTTGTTTTCAGGCTTTCAGGCTGAAACGACACAGGGCCTGTAGGCCCTTGTTTTCAGGCTTTCGGGGTGAAAACGACACGGGCCTGAAAAGGGCCCGTGCAGCCTGTTGCAGGCGCAGCATGTAACACCCGTAATCAGGGTCACCAGCCCGTACGTACGGGGGCCAAGTCCCACTGACAGCCTTGAATTTCCTCAACGCCTGAATCTGGACGTGTTTGTGGCTACGTGCGGTTGAGGAAACTCAACGCGATTTCTGCACAGATCCACAAACACATCCAGATTCAGGCGTTGAGGAAACTCAACACTGCCAGTGGCCCGTACGTACGGAGGTCCCCGGGCAGACCTCCGTACGTACGGGCGTTCGGGGTCCCGTATGGGGTCCGAACCCGACGGCATTCGGCCCCGCCAAAACTTATTTCAGGGCCTAAGAATAATTATTTTTTTCTGAATTGTTTTGTGTGATTTCTCTATGACGTGAGGTACATGCCTGTAAAATTTCAAGTCATTTGGCTAAGCCAAATAAGAATTAAAAATCGCCAAAGATGGCGGTGTCAAAACGTGCTCGCCCACGTATTTTTTCATTTTTTACTTTTTGTTTTCACTTTAGTTCGGGGTCTAAACAATTTTATTATTTTTTGAAACTTTTTTAGTGGGTTTTGTATTATGTGAAGTACACACCCGTAAATTTTCAGGGCATTTAGCTATGCCAAAAAATAAAGAAAAGTCGCCAAAGACGGCGGTGTCAAAAATGTGCTCGCGCACTCGGCTACATTTAATTCTTTTTTTTTTCTTTTTTTGTTTTGTTAGTATCTGTTTTTCATATTTTATTTCTATTTCAAATTTGGTAAGGAATTTGGATGTAATGCTCAGGCAAATCTTGTTTAATTCTTTTTTCTTCATAACATAGCTTTTTTTCATATTTTTTTGATTTTTTTTCTTTGATTTTTTTTTTTTTGGGTGCGCGTTCGGCCTGAACGGCCGAACGCATCCCCAAGGGGTCCCGGACGTTCGGGCGTTCGGGTTCAGGCGTTCGGCCCGTCCCGAACGCCGGTTACCCTACCCGTAATACTGTAATGAAAAAAAAAAAAAAAACGCCTGGAAGGACGTCCTGTCCAGATTTGACAAGTAATTGAATTGGTTGGGCTTTTAAAAATCCGCCTTTAAAAAAAAAAAAAAAAAAANGGGGGGGGGGGGGAACACGAACAAGAAACATGCAATAGTACTACTGAAACTACTCAAAATACCAAGTGGCCCCTACTGTAGCTCGGTTGGTAATTTGGTATACCAATGAGCTGTTGAAATACAGACAAAAGTTCGAATCCGAAGGGAAGTAAATAACCTGGGCCTGCTCAGTTTGACGGATCAATTGACAATAATTATTGAATAATATCTCAATTTTTCGCAAAGAAAAACTGTGAATTTATCTAGGACAGGTCGGTTCAAAGATGATATCTCAAGGCCGTTGCTCTTTATTTTCCCAAAAAACGAAAAAACGCTACTAAAAAGAGAGGGGCGGAGGAAGGGAACTTGCCTGCAACGGAATGAGGTTCATCATCGTCCCAAACCCACGTGATAGTCTCATCCACATGAACAACTGTAGAATAAGACACATTCCTTTTCCATAACAGCTGCTTGCCTTCGGCATCTGCAAAAGAAAAAAAAGAAAAAAAAGAAGAAGATAATCAAAAGGAATTGGTCAGAAGAGTCTTACTGTTTTACATGCCAAACAAATAGGAAAAAAAAAAAATCCGGATAATTTAAAAAACTATATATATACAGGGTTGCCGGCGTTCGGGACGGGCCGAACGCCCGCACGTTCGGCACCCCCTCTCGACGCGTTCGGCCGTTCGGCCGAACGCGGACCCAAAAAATATATATATATATATATACAGGGTTGCCAGGGCGAACGTTCGGAGGCCCCTAAGATGACCCCCGAACGTTTGGACGTTCGGGTCCCCGTACGGGGCCCGAACTTGAAGGGGTTCGGACCCCGCAAAAAAATATTTTGTCACCTAAATATTACTATTTTTTCCTGAAAATTGTTTTGTGAGTTTTGTGATGTAAGGTATCTCCCGCTTACTTTTGAAGTCATTCAGTCCAGCCAAAAGAAAATGAAAAATCCTCAAAGATGGTAGTGTCAAAACTTGCTTGCCCACTCACTAATTTGTTTTTTCTCTCTTTTCACTTTTTGTTTTTCCTTTATTTCGGGGCATGAAAAAAAAATATTATTTTTTCAAACTTTATTTGTTGATTCTCTATTATGTAAGATACACATATATAAATTTTCATAGCATTTGTCACAGCTGAAACGGATTCCACCTTTGCAGCTGCCGATGCAGACCCCAGGGCTCGATCCCTAGTCCTTACCCTACCTGTGTACAGTATCTGTGTCGACCCCAGGAGTTGAACCCACGACCTGTGTCTTTCCCCACAGTTGGTAGGCTGTCTTAGGACTTTAACTTCTTTAGCGCAGACGTACAGTCTTTGTCCCACTGCCAGAGTGCCTCTTTCTTGAGCAACCTGCGAGAGGGAGCGGTGATAGTCGAGAAGTTCCTCACGAACTTCCTATAGTAGTTAGCTAGGCCTAGGAACGACCGCAACTCAGTCAATGTGTGGGGCGTTGGCCAATCTGTTATTTCCGCTATCTTGCTGTCCTCAGGCTTAATGCCGTCTCCGTCTAAGACGTGGCCCAAGTACAAGACTTGTATCTTGGCCCACTCACTTATTCGTGTTGATCTTGAAGTTAGCTTCTCTCAACTTCTCCAAGACCTGCCTCAAATGACCCTGATGCTCTTGGAGGGTCCTACTAAATACTATTATATCATCTAGATAAACTACAACAAATCTATCTAACCATGGCCTAGACAAATCGTTCATACAACACTGGAACGTGGCAGGCGCATTGATTAGTCCAAAGGGCATCACCATGAACTCGTAGTGCCCATACCTAGTCCGGAACGCAGTCTTGTACTGGTAATCAGGATGGACCTCTATCTGATGATATCCGGACTTCAAATCGATCTTCAAAAATATCTGCAACCCTGCACCCGATCTAAGAGATCGTCTATCCTAGGCAGCGGTTCATCGTTCTTCACTGTGATCGCATTTAGACCCCTATAGTATATGCACATCCGTAACTCTCCTTCCTTTTTGGGGACAAACAAAACTGGTGATCCAAAAGGAGATGAATTGGGCCTAATCCAACCCTTTTCGAGGAGCTCGTCTAACTGCTTACGCAGCTCCTCCAACTCCCTTGGGGACATCCCGTAGACTGCTCCCTTAGGAGTCCTGCTGCCAGGCTCTATCTCTATACGATGCTGGATCGGCCGCGACACTACTCCTGACGGCGGCTCTGCAAGGTCTTTGAACTCTTCCAGCAGCTTGGCAATAGCTGGGTCTATGGGTGTGTCTTCCTTAGGCTCAGTGACAATCCTCACACAGGCTACGAAGACCTGCTGCTCTAATTGCTCCTTTCTCATTAATCGTGCGAACGCGGGAGCACTGAGACAGCAATGTGCCAAGGAGTTATCTACTCCAGACACATGAAACAGGCGGACAGTCTTAACCTCGTCTGACGGACTAGGGAGCCTACACTCATGCTCTCTCAAATGAAGTGTGGCCCCTGCTGCCTCTGCCTAGTCCATGCCTAGGACTATGTCGAAAGGAAGGTCATCCTATACGAGGAGAGTTAGGGAAGGGAGAACTTCCCATCTTTCTCTAGGCGAAAATATGCCCGGACTCCCTCTACGTAGTCCTCAACACGCATAGTGCGGTTGTCTGCGAGGACACGAACTATGGGGTCTTCCAACTTTTGGACTTTCAACCCTAGCCTTAGCTTCTTCAGCGCTCTGTGGCTAAAATAACTACGAGTAGCCCTTGAGTCTATAAGGGCTCCTACTCTACTTCTAAAGACTTCTACATCAACCAAAACCAGTTGTCCCGTGCTATTCTTCTTCATTTTGGCCCAGGCGGGCATCCTCTCCTTCAACTCTTCCGCCACGCCTGTGAGGGAAGTGCCTAGAGAGACGCTATCACAAGCAGTCTCTGGACAACTAGCTAGGCACAGGCCTGCAACCTCTGCCGAATGCTCACATGGTGTGGGAGTTTCCTGGTGGTGTGCACACTCTTCCCCACGTGGCCTTATAGTAAGGGCAGTTACGACCCCTACTGGCGGCTGCCTTTTGACCCCTGGGCAGCGAATCGGGCTTCCCTATACTTTGGACAATATTTAATAATATGGGCAGGGTCACCGCAATAGATGCATTGCCCCTGCTCCATACGTTGTTACCATACATGCTGGTCCAAGCCTAGATCTTCCCAAGGCTGTCCTTGTGGTCAACCTGGGTGCCAACCTCCTTGCCTTTGAGGTGACCTTCCACCTCTGTGCTGCGGCGACCGACTGGGTCCTGAGCGATTCTGCGGGGGACCTTGACCCCTACCTCCCACTTGGCGATTCCTAGGACCGCCAACCCCTTGTGCACCCGGACCTCGACCACCCATGGCCCGTCCCCCTTGGCCCTGGCCTCCTCTTCCTTGCGGCCTCCCTCCAGCAACGACAACAGAGTACATCCTCCCCTGACCTAAACTATTGTCCCCCTCCTCTAGTCCCCACTCTATCTGGCTGTAGGGGACTTCGTCAGTACCACCTTCATCTAAAGTAAGGATCAGATGATCCTTGGCCCTGACCTAGCCTGAGATAGTACGACCTTTCCACTTCTTTGCCTTATCTAAGTCCTTATGCCAGAAAGTGGAAACTGGCACGTACTTTGCCTCGAAAAGGACCACTTCCCTACTCAACGCATCATACGTGATATTGGCCTGTTGGGCATTATCGAAGAAATGCCCTCGCAGGGGCTCTGGCATGGCACGATAAAATAATTGGACCAACTGGGTCTCAGTGACCCCGTGGTCTAGGACGGCTACCAAGTCGTCCATGACAGCTTTGAGTGCTCGCACACTCCTCCACTGTCGTGAGTGGATGGTTTGAAGCTTGTCAGAGGCCCCGAGGTCCCTTGTGACGTCAGCGAACCTCTCTCGCAGGAGTTTGAGGAAAGTGGAAAGAGGGGTGAGCCTAGAATATGCAACCATATTGTTTTCACAATCGGCTGCGTGCGCAAGGGACCTGGCAAAACTGGCCGCGTCATCCTTCAATGCATGGAAGGCTACGAGGACTTGTCCCTCGGGGGCGATATGCTTAAATACACATATGTATTGATGCTGGCCTCCCAGTTATCAAAACTATCGTCCTTTTTCCCGCTATACGAGTCAGGAAATTTTAGCTTGACGGGCTCTTTGCGGGGACGCACTTCAGCTTCGACCACTACTTCGGCGCCTTCAATAGCGCCTGCGCAAAACTTCTTTGCGCCTTCCTTCAATCTCTTGACCTCGGTCCCGACGTGGGTCACCACATCGCGGGGAGACTCCCTAAAGCCGGTCCGGATCGAGTGGAGGGTCACTTCCTGACCCTTGCTAGCCTGATGTTCCTCAAGCCAGGCCTGACTCAGAATCTCAAGATAACCCAAAATCTGATCTAATTTGGCAGGGGTTTCTTCTTGCGCTTGTACTTCCCGCCTACACGCCTGAATCTTCTCCACTTCTTTGGCCATCCGGTTGGCCTCCTCCTTCCTCCTCTTCTTTTCCCTTGCCAGACGCAACTTCCAGTCTAATCTCTTCTCGTCTTCCATCGCCTGGCGTTCCAGGGGGTCCTCCTTAGCTTCTAGCTCCCTGGCGAATGCTTCTTTCTCCTCCTGAGGCACGTACAACATCGCCTCCTCATCCTCACCCAGCGATAAGTTAGCCACCCACTCGCTAATCTTCTTCTCCATCCACTTGTTTTCTGCCTTCGTGCCACTAGTTTCTCCTCTCTCTCCCCCACGCCTCCTTTCGAGGGGTTCTTCTTCTACTTCTTCCTCATCTGCTCTTGCTTCTTCTTCGGCAGCCTTTCTTTTCTCTTACTCCTCCCGTTGCAATCTGATCATCTCCTCTTCCAACTTTTTCTTCTTCGCCGCCTACTCCTCAGCTATCGCCTTCAACTTTGCTTGTTTGCGGAGCTCCTTCTTCTCCCTTCTTTCTCTCAGAATGGCAACGAATTGCTCCTCCTGAGCCTGGGTGCAAGGGGTAGTACTCTTTCCACCATGTGTGTCAACCATGGCGTCAGGTGCACAACCGGGCAACGGTTCCACTCCTCACCACTTAGACTCTACCCCCTTAACTGACAAGACCTACTAACTCGATCTAAGGACTTACAGAATACGGACAGGATCCTGCCAACTAGGGTCACTAGCCTGGACCTAAACTATGGCTGTCACTACAGGACCTGTTGCTGATCAGGCTCCTCAGGAATTCTTTAACGTCGCAGACAGGACGACGCGATCAGCAGGTCCTCTCAACACTTAGACGGCCTGTTGTGCAGCCCACAACTCGGATTTTGGGCCGATTGTGCCACACCGAGCAGCCCGCCGGTCAGTACCGGTCCTTGGGAGGGTTCGTGTCCTCCGGGACAGTCGAGTCGTCAGACACAATCTTTAGCCCTACTCAGCCCGTGTGTGTTTGGTCAACAAGGCCCTATCCTTCATTCACAGAGTCCTATCACCTGGACAGAAGAGACTCAATGCAGAAAGAAGAGACAGACAGACTTGACTCAGCAAGTACCACAGGGTGTGTGCACATCCATAGGGCGAGGGGATAGGCTGAAGGCTTGGCGAGATTATACCGGCTCCAGCTTGGTCAAATTTGTGGTCAGCAGTCTCGGTCAACGCCTTGGTCAACGCCTTGGCCAATGCCTTGGTCAACGCTGCAATCAACCCCCGGTCAACTCCCGATCAACGTCCGCTCAACGCCCGGTCAACTCTGGTCAACGCCCGGCCAACGCCCAGTCAACTCCGGTCAACTCCGGTTCGGCTATGGCGGTCGGCTTCCCCTTCGTCGCCACCCTTCTCTTTCCCTATTTCTACCTCGCCTCCTTCTTCTTCACCCCGTCTGTCTTCTCTTTTCCTTTCTCTTTTTTTTTTTTTTTTTTTTTGTTCTCGGCTCTCCCTTCTTCTTCCTCCGCTTCACTTCTCTTCTCGGTCTCTCACTCTATCCTCTCTTTCACCTCCTTCGTCACTCTGTGGTTCAGCTCCGCGGCTATGGCCGCCTTCTTCTTCCTCATGGAACTGCACGACGGTCTTCACAGGTACGTGACAGCCAATCTTGTATCGCTCATCTCTCTCTCTCTCTCTCTCTCTCTCTCTCTCTCTCTCTCTCTCTCTCTCTCTCTCT